GAATCCAATCAACCAACGATAACTCAGCCTTGGAGCTGAGAATGATACCTACACCAGCTTGACCCGTGAGTGCCGCATCGGCGTCTCCGGATGCGTGCAACCAATAACGAGAGGATAAGCCGGGTGCAGTCAATTCAATAACCCCGTTAGGGTCATTAATCCTAGTTTCGGACACACAACACACATCAACACCCAGTGTGTCCAAGGTGCGTGCGAGTGCAGCCTGCTGACCTGTTTGTCTTAGAGTGCGGACGTTGAATGTCGCCATGGAAACGGCACAGCGTGGTCTTATAAGGGACTTTTGCCGATAGGCGTCCGATAGGTGCTGTGGGATGGTGGCTGCAGATGGTTCTGCTCCAGTAGCACTTCGGTTGCTGTCAATTAAGCTGGGAATTATAGAAGGAAGGTTAGTAATGGGGGCCGGGATGAGAGTAAGAGAAAAAGGTGGAAAAGAAAGAAGGGAGGCGCCAGCAGTAGCATGCTTTCGCTTATCCGCCCTGCTGTATGCAGCAGATAAGGCGACCCTTGATAATCTGCGCGACGGCCGATGCAGGATGAAGTTTATGTTTGAAGAAAATGTCATGGTTGTATGTGGGCTGGGATACTGCCAGGGCGCCCAGACCTAGACAGGAGAACGATTAGGGTCCTCATCCAAAGCCTTTGGCTCAAAAGCCTGTCCGCAAGGCAGCGGGGTGGCAGTGATTTAGTTTTACAGAAATGGACGCCATCCCATTTCAAACCCCCAACCTGGAGGACCAGGAGACTGAGTTTGTCTGACCTCTCACCATTGACCAACCTGGTAGGAGTAGCTCTCAAGATGTTCGGAGGCATCACCCAGTATAGCTCAATGGGTCAATGAGGTACGCAAACCGTCGCACCACGTTAAGGTCCAGTCTCATTGCGACGGTCCTCATCAACATACTCAACATTAATGATCTAATTCTTATCTCTACATCTCGCATTCTGTGAAGATAGACTTCATACAATCTTTGGGCATGTGGGTGCACACTACTGACTACATTTATACTACTCCCGCTCTTTGGTCCTGCTAACCATGCTATCATGGAAAATGTTGCAATATGCTGATCATGTCCAAAAGACGTGGCAAACTTTATTTATTTGTGGTGACTATAAACTAACAGTTAATCGTTTTTCAATTCTGGATAAGTATCCCTTACGTCCGATAGAGGATCTGTATGCTACGCTAGCAAGCGAACAATGTTCACGCAGATTGACCAGTCAGGCGTTCTTACAAATTGAGTTAGACGAGACCTCTCGCTCATGCACTACGATAAGGACCCGCAGGGGTCTATTCCAGTACAAACATCTGCCCTTCAGAATCAGTTCAGCCACGGCGATATTCCAAAGAATTATTGATAACCTGATTGGATATTCTTTTCACTTACGCCTATCTTGACAACATTCCGATTACAGGACGCACAGATGCCGAACACTTAAAAACGCTATTCACTGTGCTCGAACGTCTACAACTGTGTGCTAAAACTGAAGTCCAAGAGTACGTTTTTCCTGAATTCCGTTTGTTACCTGGGTCATCGCCACTATAAAAAAGGATTACACGTGTTAGAGTACAAAGGCAAGCGCACCCTTGACTCACCTGAACACAAGAATGAGGCTGAATCCCGATCATGTTTGTGGATGTTATCATACTATCGTCCCTTCTTACCTAACACCTCAACAGCATTTGCACCTTTGTACGAACTGTTGTACAAAGGGAATGTTGTGTTTCCGCTGACAGTACAGATAAATGAAACAGCCACTTCACAAATCACATGGCAAAAACTTCTGGCGGAACTAGTATGGAGCAGCCAGAAGACAGAATGTACAGCCAAAACATGGGGTCCAAATAAATAGTTCATGAGAGAAAAGATCTAATTGCAAGTTCCTGACTATAGCAGCTACTAGATGGGCGAAACTCCCTTGTTGACTGTTCATATACAGTGCGCTTACTGGAGGGATTCAAGGCAGCTCATTCCGACTGGTTCACTTCAAGATAGAACAATGTCATTGGCTAACCAATCAGCTACAAGCGGCATACGACCAATCTCCGGGTTGCACCAAACAAATAGCTGGCTTCCAATGCTGCTACGGATGGCCTCCTGTAACAGGGAACTCATGGACTTTGGGTCCGGATCAAATAAGGACATTCACAAATGTAAAAAGAGCGCTCAGTGCATCCTCGTATCTCGTGCATTTCGATCCGAGCCGGCCTCTAGTGCTGCAGTGCGATGCTTTCCCACGGAATTAGGCGCAGTCCTTCGCCACCAGATGGACGATGGTTGTCTTCGTTCAATCGCTTCTCGCACTCTGCAACCCGCTGAAAGGAAGTACTCCCAAATGGACAGAGACCATAGGCAAGAAACATTGTACATTTGACAGTTGGCAGAGTGCAGCATTCCCACCAGTACATCCACACTGACTATAAACTACTTCTTTCACTGTTGGGTGAGAAAGGAATTCAACTCATATCTTCACCTCGAATACAATGATGTGCACTACTTTTGAGAGCCTATAACTACAAACTCCGGTATGTAAAGAGAGGTAGTAACACTATTTCCAATGCGCTGAGTCGCCTCTCGCAATAACATGGAACAAAGAGCCCATGGAGTCTATTAGTCTGATGCAATACCATGAAAAGACACCTATCCGGAGTGAAGTGGTGGCGCCTGACGCAACGGGACCAGGTGTTATCGATAGTGAAGCGGTTCCTCATGACCCGATGGCCTACAAGCACACGAACTGAAACCATTCGCTGAGTTAATTCTGTAGGATGGCTGTATATTTCGAGGCTCAGACACAGTTTCACTGGATGAACCAAGACCCCAGGTATTGAGAAAGCTGAATGATGCACAACCTGACGTGAGTAGGATGAAGACACTGGCGTGTGGTTACTGTAGATGGCCGAACATTAAGCAGGATATAGAACGGCTACTGAAAAGTTGCGAACTATGTCAAAAATACCAAAAACAAAAATCCCCCGGACCGATACACTCATGGCGGCCGGAGAGGCCCTGGCAGCGAATACATGTGGACTCTTTGGACAATCAATGGAATGATGGGTCTATCTTGGATTAATGCCCACTCTAAATGGATGGAAGCACATTAAGTTCCACATGCGACTTCCGCACGTTCTTAGCATGCATGACAATGGAGGATGAGCCGCGCTATATCGCAGTTAAATATCAGTCAAGGCGGTCCGCTGCTGTCGCCCATGGCTCAGTGGCGTAAGTCGCTGGCGCGTAAGAGTAATGTCGTGGGTTCGAATCCGGTACGATTCGGCGGGTGCATGCTACTGACGAGTCCCAATAAAATGAACGGCCGTCCAGCGCTTTTCTGTGTGGTGGTTATCTATCTGAGTCTAGCTGCGACAAATCTTCACGAAAATACCCTAACAGCTTTGGTACCGCCAAATTAGTGCAGGAAAGCAACACGACGAAAAACTGAAGCTACGTTACCACGACACGATCCACGTGAGTTTATCACGAACTAATGTTGATTTTACGTGTTGGAAATCCAAGACAGTTGATCGGCGCGAATGGTGTGGGCTAATCAACGGAGGGCGGTTACCCAGGTGCAGGAGAAATCACTATTGCACGCGAGTGAAAAACATCAGTTGAAGAAGCGACAGGCGTCGAGCGCATTATGCTGTATTACACGCGGTGGCCTGAGTCAAGCCACCAGCATAGCCATACGGGAACAACATCCATGGGAAGTAGTAAACTGAACATGTGATCCTAATCAACGCAGAGCTGCTTTCTATTCAATTCTATTTAATAACCCAGGTCACTAGTGCGGCCGATGTGGCACGTGTGTCACATCATCGCTGCACTACTGACGAGTCCTAATAGGACAAAACGTCCGTCTAGCACCTCCCTGGATTGGTGGTGGCTATCTGCCTGAGTCTGAGTGTGATGAATCTTCACAACAAATAGTGTTGTGTGTTGTATTGGCTTCGTCATGTGATATGTATACCGCTTTTGGAGAAGAACCCTGTTCTCCTTGCAGAATACCGAATAGCACGCGCCTCGAAATGCGCACAAGTCAACTTGGTATCGGAAAATGAAGTCACTGACGAGTAAACTAGTTGCTGTTGGCCCGTCTCGCTTCCGGGTTGGAGTGCACGTGACTCAGTCAGCTCGGGACTTTACAGGACATGGCGCAGTTGCTGTCGTCTCCTAGTCGGATTACCTGTCCAAACTTTGGGGTTATAGCTGATTGACGTAAGGCAATGAAAACCGTAAGGAAGCTATCTCGCTGATGCTGTGTTATATTTGCACCATAGGTGTGGTCGTATGCAACTGACATCATGTAAGCGTCGTGGTGCTGAATGTTTGCTTGAGATACTTCGGTCTTACACTACGTCCCCTTGTCTCCCGCCTATTATCCATCCATGCGTAATTCATCGTGGTTGTACGACAGCGAAGCATCGGTTTAAATGCCTGATATAGTACCGTTGTTTTTTGTTTTCATGTACAACAGCGCGGTGCATACAACGATGACAGAAGGAGAAGGAAAGTTTAGTAAAATAATAAAAGGAACAGAGGCAAGGAGAAGACATAAAGAGAGAGGCATCAGAAGTATGCCGGCAAGCATTATCAGCGTTTCGCTGCTGTGCAACCACTCGTGAGCTAGGATACTGTGAGAGTCGCCCGATCCCCTACGCAGGCTCGAACCTGCGCCACCGGATTACAAAGCAGGCTTGTGATCCTTAAGGCCACGGGACGGCAGTCGACATAAAGATACGCTGCGAAAATAGATAACATCCAGATGGTCAGTCGAGCTAAGGGCCATGCACGTATTTCGAACATCCTAAGAATGGTGAAAAGACCTAAGTGCAATGCGAACATGGTGGGTTATTGCTTCGAGGCAAAAAGGAGAAAGTGATCTTCAGTTAAAACACACGTGAGTTTGATTACAAGAACAACATTCACGCAAGTGACGATAAGAGATTAATTGGGTCAGACGACAGAAACAACTTTCAGACGGTGCACTATTGCAAACCAGCATTTAATGGCAGGCATGGAACCAGATCATCCAGATTATACAAGAAACGATTGGAGTTTAAACCCAGCTAATCACATCGAATTCTCAGAGGAGCAAATTACATCAATGTGGGGCTCCCTTTTATTCTTCGCAAGCACTGAAGCATCACTAGTCTGTAGACTAGTCTAGAAAAGGGACAGCGGGATATTGGGTCGACGTTCGGACGGTGGTGTCACACCAAAACATTTGGACCTGTACAAAGAAACCGGTGAAGAAGACAAAGCATCAAAATAAAAATAAAAAGGAGAGACAAATGGCACCAGCTTCAGGTGAGGGCGCGAAGACTGTGGTCACATAACAAGTCATTCGGAGAAGAAGGTTAGGTTACATCGAAAGCAGGCGGGTGATGAGGAACCTGGCCAGAGAAAAGGAGAAACGACAAGGAAGACGTGCCAGATGCACAAAAGTTGCCCTTTACGAATGTTATGTTTTGCACACAATGCAAAAAAGCGGATACACAGGCAGAAAGTGACACGGGGAGAGTTCTCTGCTCAACAACCACATGTTTTCCACTGGGTCTCTTGAGGTTGTTCGATGGGCTTCAACTCGATATCTAGATTGCAAGCAAGGGAGTATGGTGAGAACGTGGCTAAGGAAATATATACACACATCAGCCACTGCTGCAGATTTGTGCGCAATCACGCTTGCGAGAGTGAAAGGTGTAAAAGCACACCGAGGGCAAAGTTGGTGCTGCATAAAAAACCGACAACTCGGATGGGGTTATACGGGAATGGATCGGGTGATTTCTCAGTCAACTAACCATATGGGTGGGAGGTTAAAAGATGCAGGGTGCCACCAAGACCAACGACATAAAGTGGGATCATCAAAGGTGCCACCTCAGGTTAAAAAGAAAGTTCTCAAAGTAAAAGAGGAGTATAAAACGAATCGTAAGTGGTGCGCGGAAACCGGTCACCCGTCACAGTAGGGTTAGGGTGGCAAAACGGACCAGATACAGCCCACCTTTATTGGTGACTCACGAAATCACAGCTAACACCAGCAGCCACGACGATTATAATCGGGGTCTTTGGAAGAGTCATGTAATTTAATTTCAACCACTAAATGATCGAAATGAAAAAACAAGTTGTGACAGTGCCACAAACAGAATCAAGGAGCAAGCGATATCCAAAGAAACAGACCAGTAAAGTGTGCGGGTGTCACAAATACAGGAGTGTAATCTTGTCAAAGTGAAACAAGATTATGTGAATCAAGTGCGCATGATAACATAAAGAAGTACAGGCTGTAGTCTATTAAAGGCAGTTGACACGCTAGATAATAACTAAACACCCACTTTAAGACATGTATTGGAAGGTCTGATTCGACCTCAGAGAAAGAAAAGTACTTCGGTGTGCCAAAAAGCGATTAGCCAACTAGAAACTCCATCACAGGCAGCATAAACGCCATCCAGTAGGCTTAAGGATTATAAACCCGCCTTGTCATCCGAGGGCGCGGGTTCGAGACTGCGTATGGGGCAGGGTGACCCTCGCACACGTGTGACCGATGGTGGTTGCGCGGCAGCAAAGCGTCGGTACGCAATACCGACGTACTGCTGATACTCCTTTTTCTTTCTTTATAATTTAAACTTGCTCAACAAGTTATATGGACGTCCCGAGTACATAGAAAAACTGGATAGGAAACATGCATTTGTTGCACTGCGACTCAGAAAGTTCAGGGGCAGTAAACTAGTGAATCATTTGTTTGCCGCTCGAAACGGTGGTGACTATGTGAAACAAAAGACTAGTTAAATTAACCCAGTAAAGAACCAACACAATCGTTACCATCAGCGAAGGCCACTTAAAAGAATAGATAAAAAGTCTACCGATCAAGCTTCGTCGTACTCTTGAATTTAGAACTGTCTATGATGCCTTGATAAATAACATGCTATTGATAAGGAAGACTATTCGTCCTCATCCATGTTAACTATGAAAAACTCAGCTACAGCTGTACACTTCTGGTGAAGGCTGTCGGTAACTACGTTGATGCCACTACAATTTGCTATGCCAAATGTACAGAGAGCGGAATGTTCTCCATACCACAGCTCTACATTAGGTCATCCCCTCAAAACACTGAACAACAGGACTTTACTATGAATCCTGATGCCTTAGTGATTACCTAATCCATTACTAAGCTAACCGGCAACCATTCGCTGGTAACTTAAGCGTAATCTAAATGTGTCGATCTAAAATTTTCCAGAATGAACAACGTCTCTTGGATAGTGATCGTATCCTAGGTGTCGGTGAGACTATGAACGAAGTCTCATCCCCATAGGATACTGTCATTAACCGACAGTTTCAATAAAGTGTGGTGAGTTAAGTTCAAGTTGTGATCAATGATTTCAGATGGGGAACAAAGTGTTGAGCAAGTGACTCCCAAACGGGGTAATCAATATTTCGAGCAGATGCATCTCTCATAGAACGGAAGTGGCTCTAGCAGCATACACAGAACCGGTGAGTGCACCAATCGTTCCCAACTTTTTCACCGTACGAAACCAACTGTAGCATTAGCTCACATTAGGGCGCGACAATTTCTCCGACTGCCACGGAACTGAGGTAACAGAGCAGCTTTCATTATGCACTTGGGCTGAACCGAGAGCTCGACCCTAGTAGGTCCAAAGGCTACTACTAACGGGGCGGCATAACTAGTTTTCTTCTTCTAGATAGTGTCCCATATACAGATGATCTTGTAAAACCCATCGCACCACTGATTCTATGGGGCATGAGTGTGAGTTCTCACGTTTCTGGTGGTGTTCCGACGGATGCAGTCCTTCATCAAGAAGTTCGTCAATGTGCGTAAGTGCTCAACAGCCCATAATGGTTAAACACAAATCCCCCCACTTACATTCTTATACCTCGTGGTAACTTCAGAGTGGATATTGAGGATTTGACCACTAATGAAGGTTCAGCAACAATCGATCGTGTTTCATTTTAACATCAACGACGGTTTCACTGACCAGACCAAATAAATCAGAGTTATGATGGAGGGTACGGTGTGATGTACCAAGCGCTTCAATGGCCTTGCTATAGGAGTAAAGTCATAAGCCCCCATCGAACACCCTGGATAAAGTGATACTCGGTCTAACTTGCCCCCGTTTGCGCGTCACAGTCGACGCGCGAATAATGTAATGTAATATATTGTAAAGAACGAATAGGAAAGTGTCTTACAGCTGCGATTATTAGGATAGGTAGATTAGACTTCAGATGCAAGTTACCAATAATTGGAGAGTGGAAAGAATCTGACAGTGTTCGTGTCGGCGAGGATCGCAGGCAGCCGGATGAGAACTTGCATAAGACAAGAGAAACAGCTGCAGGGTGAAATTAGGAGTCCTGTCAAAGATCACAGCTTACACCTCAGGATAAATGAATCGCATCCCGTGTGCAAGTGGTAGATTTTCAAGACTGTAGGGATCACGTACTTTTAATGAGCCAGACGATTACGTATGACTTTAAGAAATGTCAAAATCAAGTGATGTGGCGTGAAATGCCGGGGGATTGAAAGGCAAAATGATAACTGAAGCATGACCCCGACGTTAATGGTGATACATCTTAAAAGGTGGATGATAATGGACCCAAAGGCTAAGTCCGATAATAAAAACAAACGCTAATCCACTGATGCATTTGTTGGGGCATTCTCGTGCAAGCAAGTCGTTACCTAAGCAGCAAAACATACGGTGTGGATGTAATCCATTAAGTTGAATAAACGACCTGCCAGTAACAATTGGGCATTTGGGGAGGTACAAGACGGTACTCAGGGGATAAGAGAAAGTTCAACAATAAATACAGTAGGAACGCAAACAGGAGGTTTGAAAGGATACAGTCGTCATGCTGTGGAGCAGGATTTTCTTTCTCTAGTAATTCATTTGCTATTCGCCGGAACAGCTGAAAGAAAACAAGCGGAAACAACAAATGTTGCAATGAGGACAAGATACTGATTGTGTTAGGAAGCAGTAGAGAAGTTGGATGTTTCCTTCGAGGATAAATCGCTAACGCCATATTCGTTCGATAGAGAACGATGCAAGAAAGATCCAAGATTCTACAACTAAGCAAATGGATGACAGGGCAGGGACAAGGGGTAAAAATGTTGGGCAAAAAAGCAGTGACCATATGGTAGTTGCGCATAAAAAAGGGAAAGTTGATTAACTCAATAAAGGGTGATAATAGGTGCTAAATTCAGTGAAATGCCGCTTCATACCACTCAGTGTGACAGAGCTGGTCATGCAAATTTCGCTACATTGTGACCCACTGAGCTACGCTGGTTGGCACTTTCAAACCATCTATGGATTCATTAATGTCACGTGCGTTAACGGTCGAAGATCAAACAAACTCACTATATCTTCAGGTGACGTTGGAAAGAGGTAGGAAGCTCAACCTCCCCAAAACTCAAATATGGACGACAGCAGTGTACGAGCTGTAAATTTGGGAAAATTGGAGTAGTTAAGTGGATTGGTCGCTGTCGCAGGATTCATCTACTGAAGCCAATTGGTCTGATATAAAAGAGGGTGTGAAATCGCTGTGCGCCTGATTCGTACCCAGCAAGTATCGGAAAGCTGGCTCGACAAAGAGTATGGCCGGTTGGCTCGATGGTGACGCGTATTGTGGGATAAACCCCTCCAGTCTGGTTCTGCTGACGATTACGAGGTGTAGAAAAGGCAGCGGAATCTATGCAACAGCGCGAAAGCAAAGAAGCGTAGAAAGTTCGAAGAGGAGCTTGCAACTGCAGCAAAGATGGCCCCCAAGAGAATTTCTGCCTACGTGAAGCGGCGCCTGAGACCTAATGGTGACGTAGCAGTTAGGGGGCTCTGACGAACGGCCTGATTTCCAGCGCTGAATGTGCGTCCGCGTTGGTGACGTACTTCGCTTCTGTATTTGCAATTGGGCATGCGTCTATACGTCTATGCGTCTATCGTCCATCTGACCTGACCTGACCTGAGCTCGATGTGTGCAGCCCCTACTAAACTCGAGATCCTGGATTGGGATGTCCGTAATTTACTTGGCAGTCTTGACGGCACGAAGCCTTTAGATCATGATGCGTTCCACCCGCTGATTCTCAACTCGTTGTCGGCTATTATTTCGCCACCATGACTGATTTGTTCAACAGATCGTTGTCCGAGAACTGAAAATGCTCGGTAGTGAAGCCGATTCCGAAGGGCGATGACCCAAGGTGGACAATTACCGGCCGATTTGTCTGACCCCCCCCCCTCCCGTCTTGGCCAAAGTACTCGAGAAGATTGTGAGATCGGAAGACCTAGCTAAGATCCAGCACAGTCTCATGAAAGGCCGCTGATGTATTACCAACTTGTTTTTGACGAGGCAGGAATGGTTGCAGGCGCTGATCCCGGGGAGTCTGTCGAGGTGATTTACACTGGTTTTAGGAAGCGCTCTACAAGGCGAACCATATGGTGCTTTTACACAAGGTGACGATGTGCAGTGTTGGCATCGCACTTCACTAGTGGGTCTGCGATAGCCTTGTTGGACAGAAATGGTGGGTGCAGGTGGAAGACCACCAAGGTACAGTACTAGGGTCATTTTATTCATGATCCACATCAACGAAGTGCCTCGGCTTTTTTGGTCGCCTTGTGCCATGATTGCAGATGGCCTGAGGATGTGGAGAATAACTGATGATCCCGACGATTGTGACCTCGACCGTTTGTCCAGGTGGTATGTAGATGTCGATCTGCCGGTCAACTCAGTCAAATCGTTATGTACGAGCCCAGAGAAGGGTGTTGATGGGCGTAGATACACATCGGTCGGCCAACTGCCGCATCCCACATGTGAAGGACCTAGGCATACACCCACGCTGCGATTTGAAGTCCGTAGATAATGCGGAAAAGCTATGCAGAAACGGACTGCGCATGCTTTGGGCGCTCAAATGCAGCTTCTGCAATTAGTTTGAAGTGACTGCTAGGTGACTTCTCTTACCTCACATAACCTATGCTCGCGTATCGCTCATTAGCTCATTGTCCGGTCACTCGTGGCGAGGTGCAGAGACTAAAACGTGCTCAGCATGTGGCTTACCAAGCTCATTCCCAGATTACGGGGTACGACATACGAAGACCGATGCAAAGGCCGGGGTTGTACACCCAGTTGTATTGTTGGTTTCGAGTGGACCTTATAATCATCATCATCATCATTATACATGTCAGCTAGAGGTGGGAAACACCTCAGCTACTGTGTCGCAATACATAAAGGAAAAAGGAAAATAAATACAAAAGTTGCATGTCAGCTGAGTTACCAGCAACGGATAGGCATCGTTCCGGTAAGCTACCAGCCAGCTACTAGGAAAAAAGAAAAACTATTACGTTTTACGCTACGAAATGAGCTCGTAGGCGGACGGGGGGCCTTATAATGTCGCGCCAGATATTACAGCTGGGTAACATTCCTATGTCGAGGCCACTGGTGCACGTCCGCGCACCACTCAGCACCCACGGACACCGGTACAAGCTTGTAGTGCCGGATCTGAAAGGTGCAGTTTACCCTATATGCTTCAAACGGCGAGTGATGAAATATTGGGACAGTTTGCTCGAGAAAATAATCGAGGCGAAACCGGTGTCAGAATTCAAGAAACTCCTAGACACCCATTTTGCAGATTTTGAGAATGCATCGCATTTGATCACGTCGAACTGCATTGAGAGTGAAGATAATGAATGACCTTATTCCGTGTGCATGCCGGATAATATATCGATAGAGCAACATAGATGCATACGTTCGTACTCATTACTTTCAGTATTCAGAGTATTGTGAAAGGAGGAGCCACAACTTATAGCTGACAAGTGCTGCTCATGGGTTCGCCGTAGGTCGTGCAGCCGGTAATCGATAAAGCCCAGATCTACCTGTGGTTAAGTCGGTCGCAGGTACAGCTACTGTAATAATAGAAAACCCGATCTTTGATGTGGTCGATTTCGAAGCCACCAGCTAGGGAAAAATCTATTAGTCAAACGTTTCCGGAACATTTACCATGTCAACAACTAACCATGTAGTGTCACTAAGTGATGTACAGTGAAGGGAAACAAAAAATGCCGAAAGAACCGGCCTGCAGGCATACAAAAGAGATGACTAAGCCAAAACCGGTAGTTCTGCTTCGAGAAACCATGGAGTCTGACGCTCAGTTGTCGAACACCAACTAGTGGATATTGATGCTACAAAAGGACAAGACGCAGCAATATGAGATTCGCTCATTAGAGTGCAATCGAGGTGAGCCTTTCTAACAGCTTACTCTCTATCTCGATGGGAATGCCGCGCACATTGTATGCAGACTTTTCACACAGTCCGGAAATGATCTATACTACCACAACAAAATTTTCTCATTCAGGCGGTATCAACGGGCAGTACTAAGCAACGTTCAAGCGTGCCGAGGATAGTACCCGAGCTCACTTCCTGTAGTGTCCATTGCCAACACGTTGGTGCGATACGCTTGGAGTTAAGCAACATTTGATTTTAGCCAGAGGATTAGTCAACCCCAGCCCTATACTATCCTTACAAAAACTGACCAACAAATGCAACTAGTCATCATTATATCATTGTACACGTTAGCTAGAGGTGGGAAACACCTCAGCTACTGTGCCGCAAGATGCAAGTAGTGCACGTCCATGATTCCATTCATCGTTTACCACCACTGTCCTGTGACACGCTGAGTGGTGGCCAGCTAAGTTGGTTGGTGCCATTAACTGAAGGCAAAAAATGAACGAGAACATATTCAGTTCGCAACGACATTGGACCTAAACGTGGTGAAACGGTTTGCGTACCTCAATGACAGATAAACCAATAAAGGGTGGTGCCTCCGGGCCCCGTAAGAGAAATTCCTACCAGCTTGGTAAATGGTGTGATGTCAGACAAACTCAGTCTTCTGCTCATCCAGGTAGAGGATTTAAAATGAGATGGCGTCCATTTCTGTAAAACTAAATCAATGACACCTCCCCGCTGCTTTTCGGACAGGCTTTTGATCCAAAGGCTTTGGTTGAGGAACCTAATCGTCTTGGTGTCTAGGTATGCGCGCTCTGACAGTATCTTAGTATCCATACAACAATACTAATATCCCCAAATTCTAACTACATTCTGCATTAGCCGTCGCGCAGATTATCAAGGGTGTGGTGGATTGAAGGTAGATACTACTGAACCGGATATAAGTAGTGTGATGCAAGCTGCCACACCAACAGCGAGCCTTGCCGACTTCCCCAAAGTTGAAGATGACCTCAGGATTCCAGTTCCATGTGCACGAGGAGTAAACACAGAGACGAGCACCAGTTGGGAAACACTCTATGGAAATCACGGATGAGCGGAGCGAATGCCTCCAAAGTAACTGTATGGAAATCACGCAGATGAGCGGACGCATCCAATGTATGAACGAACACACCTAGTATAAGCGACTTTAGTAACAAACAATTACCGCCTGCCACGGGTTCTTACATTTGGTGCCGTGACCTCAAAACCCATGAAGATCCCCTGGCCGGAGCCATTTGAAGACGGGGATGTGAGGTGTTTTTGGAGGATTTCGAGGTGGCAGATGCGGTAGGACTGAAGATGGACCGGGCAAAGATGGCGGCCCTGCGGAGTCTCCTCAAGGGCAGGGCGAAGGCGGTTCTGGAGGCGGCGCGAAGAGGTCCGGTCAAGTTGGAGTGGACCGCCGCGAAGGAAGCGTTACTCTCTGGCCTGGACACGCCAGCGGACCGCCAGGAGGCGATGCGACGGTTCAAGGCGTCGCGGCTTGGTGCTGGGACGGATCCCCTCGTGTTTGCGGTGCACCTCAGGAGCTTGTTGGACCGCGCCTTGCCGGAGTTGGATGGGCCGTCAAGGACGCAGTTGCTGGTGGATCAGTTTTTGGCCGGCCTCCCCAGCCAACCGCGGAGCGCGTTCGGATTGCAAATGCCACTCGGAAGATGCAA